CGATCCGCGCACCTGGTTGAGAGTTGGCGTCGTGGATCACCTTATTCTCGTAACTGTCCAAGGTTTACAAACCCGTGGCATTGGTCCGTTGTATGTCAGCTTCTGACACGGTGTTGACTAAGCAGTCATCAGCGAAGAGCAGGTCATGCATGTTAGAGAGGCGTGATGAGATCTGTACGGCCGGCTTTATAGGTAGCCGATCCTGTTTCCGCTGTTCTCTCTCAAGCAGATCGGTTCTGTATGAAACCGGGTTGGTCTGTATCCGCTTCAGAGAATCCTGCACGGTGTCTTGTAGCAACGGGTTTGACCTCCTTATGGGCGATAAATCGTGGAGACTTCTCTGTGTTGTTAGGCTCCCGTTGTCCATTCTCATGAGTTTGCCGCTCCAAAATAATTGCAGTTGCCGCAGCATGGCATGGTTCTGAGGATTTCAGTCGTTCCAAAACTACAGTGTCCACGGTCCTGTTCTGTCACAGCCTTAGTATCCAGGGGAAATAAACTCATTTTCCGCGCATATTTTTCGCAAACTCTGCAGATCACCCCACCATACAACAGCGTCGACATGGTTACACTTTTGTACGCCTTCATTTTACTTTTGAGATGTTGACCTTGACGATTCCATACGGAGTTCTGCAGCAAGCCAAAGACTTGGCTGGCTTTGGAGGTCCGGTAAGACACTTCGTCTTCCACTTTGATGCAGCGTGAGAATGTACTGCCTAGGTAGGTGAAGTTATCCGCAGTCTTCAGTTCGGTGTCGTTGAAGTGAATGAGACGAACATTCTATGCGCCCTTGGGTGGATACTGATGCGTGACTTCCGTTTTGTCCGTGTTTATAGTCAGTCCGAAGCTGACACAACCGCGGCAAAGAGGTCCTTGCTCCGTTGCATGTCGACTACTAACACGGAGTTGACTGCGCAGTCATCAGCGCAGAGCGGGTCATGCATTTTAGTCGTAGAGTGACGTGGTGAGATCTACACGCACCGAATGTTAAGATAATGCTCGTCACACCCGTAGGCGATGCAAAACTTGGAGCACGCATCAAGTTAAACGTCCATCAGCATGACGAAACATCTGAAGCCGAAGGGGTTTGGGCCAATTACGTAGTTCTTCATCATCCCATTAGTCACTGCGAATACCTCGGGGGCAGTCCGTTTGGTCATTAAGCACCCCATTATCCCATCATGCAGCCGACACACCGTGTGCGTGAAATGCAAAGGATAGTCGAATTCCTGCACGATTTTCCCCAATGCATTGCGGTCCACCCCCTCGAAGGCTTTCTTCAAGTCCACGTAGGAAGTGTAGAGGAGGGTCCGCATTCTCTAACGCCACTTTTGCAGCTGGCGGACGGCAAAGATCATGTCGGTGTTTCCGCAGTGGCGTCAGAATCCAGACTTCCCAGCAGCAGTCCCCAATTCGAGGAGGATGCGAGTGAAGGTCCTTCCGGGGATTTCGAGCAGAACGAGTCCTTTGAAGTTATCACAGACTTACTGGTTCTCTTTGCGCTCATAAGGAACAACGACTGTCGCATCCTTGACGTCCCGAGGAACCTGTCCTCCGATTTACATCTTTTGGAATAGCGTTGTGAGTTGATTCATCAGCCGGGGCCGTCTGTTGGGAACGTGTCGGAGTCCGGTGCCTTGCTGCTGGAGAGTTGATGTACGGCCCGGGTTGCTGCTGGAAGAGAAGGCAGCAGATCGAGATTGTTTCTGGTTCATGCCTGAGGGAAGTGCTCGATGGCGGCATCGCAGGACACTTCCGTTGAGGCCACTTACGAAGACACTCCACAACGTGTAATGATTTTAACTAGAAGAGTCTGTCCATTAGTTCTGAGAAGCGGCACGGTTCCTTTAGTTAGGTGATCGTAGGCTGCCGGGGTGATTTGAAGAAGTTCTTGATTGCAGTTCAGTCGGTACATCCACGAATTTCCTTTGCGTGCACAGTTGTTTATTTGTGCTGTCTCTTTCTTAGTCGCTGCTGCACAAAACAGCGATAACGGAAAAAACCGCTTTATTGGAGACGATTCGATAGTTCACGCAGGCCTTGAGTTGCCTTTGCTTTTCAGCTTAAACTTGACTAAAATGTGTCGATGTTGTCAAACAATTTCATATTAATAGTGAACCAATTCAAATTAAACAAAAACGCAAAATAAATGCTAGCATTCTTTTTGGCCGGTTTGAAATACTAACCTACTGAAGCGGAAATATCGCAAACCCAAAAATGTATGTCCACTGAATAGACTCGGATTTTGGCATTCCGTAATGACTATCTATATGCTGTTGGCTGGGTAAATGAAACAGCCCACATATAGTAATTATTCAAAAGAACAGTTTTGCATATGTTTGTCGCAAATATCCTCCACAAAATTGGTGTTATGTTACCTTTTGCATAAAATTAAATGCGTAATGTTTGATTATTTGCTTGAAAATCTACTTGCAGGCATTCGACGCAATTTTTTCAAGATCAGCTTGTTCAAATCAAACAATATTTCATTTCATTTTTTTGATACATATGGCGTAGTAATGATGGCTTCCATAAAGTCACATGCTCAGCACGCATTAATTTAAACCCTCTGAGCAGATGCATTCAAAAAGAAATCATTTTCTGCGTATATGAAGAACTTTGTTTCAAAAACATTCCTGTGGGGCATTTAGCGACGGTGGGATCCGCTGAGGTCGAGGATGTACTAGAAATATCACCAAACGTCTCACATTATTTCGTGTTCTTAGTTGACCGGCCGAAATGACTGTTAATATACAGTACCTGTGCTAACTCATGAAATGCCGAGGTCAAAATTATAGTGGAAAATGTAGCGTATTTTTTGGTGTCGTTATTTGTGTTTATTTAGTTGAAATAAGGACGAAAAGACAGTTTTCTGAAGGAAAGTTTGATACGGATCTGTATATTAAATAGAAAACGGGCCGGATTAAGGCAAAATCGGAGGATTCCTGATATTCAAGCAGTTTCCTACGCTATTAAAGCTTTCGGATGGAAATTCTTTCCGTAACCTTATTAATCTGTTTAAGAAGATTAATAAAAGGACGACATTTTTTAATAAACTTTTGAACAAAAAGAAAAATTAAGTTTCAATATCAACAAAATCAGGAAAATGCAGATTAATTATTTCTTATTGTGTGCAGGAAATAACGTGCGATTCTCTATCTAAAAATTCTATTTTACAAATTCGTAAAGTTTTATGTTTCAAAATACCGAAATAAAAAAGCTTATCAGTGTGATTGTTTTACCAGACTAAAAATGCGTGTCGTAAACGAATATATATTGAGTCCGCGCGACATGCCGTCACTTTACTCTGCCACGCCAAAAGATAACTATGTCTAAACAATACTTATCCGAAGTTGACTTCCAGCGCATTCGAAAATTAGCGGCGGAGGCAATCCCGCGTGAGTCGTTAGCTAGTATTTTCAATATTAGCAAGGTCACTCTGTGGCGCATTATTAATGATAAAACTGTTCCTAGAAATAAGATAGGGGGACCCAAACGGTCCACAAGTAAGCAAGACGACGATTTTATTCGTCGTAAATTAAAAAGTTTCATTGCATGCCCATTGAGACCATTCAGCGGGAACATCTGCCGAAAATGTGAATTTTGTTGAAAATTGTTTATTTTTATCTCAGTAAATAATATTTTCTTAACCAAACTTTGCTTTATTTCTTTGACACATCGTTTATTTTCCGATATCAGACTTTGGGAGCCGTAGTGTTTACCGATTTTGCGTTAAAGTCGTTAACCTGTGTTAATTCGTGACATTTCATGAGTTAGCACAGGTACTGTAATTAGCGTCATGAAGAAGGAGACACGATTGTTGGGACAAGAGCTTTATTAGACTGACGTTTCGGATCCCTGCTCGAACCCATCATCAGAGGCAAAAGCAAATAGGGGTGGTTCATGCACAAGGGGTCGCAGTATTTATAGGATGCAGTAAAAATGCTACCGCATACCTGAGAACATTCACGGCTCGCCCTTCATCCGGGATAGTCGCACTTGGTGTGCTAATTGCTTGATGGCCGACATTCGAGTCGTTAATTGCTGCAATTTCATTACGTGCGTTGGATGTTGGCGTGATGATTGCTCGACCATCTGACACACTGACCCTGGTGTTGGGAAAAGTGTTCACTTGTGCGCTCCCCGCGTGGCTAATTACTCCGCCTAGGCGAAGTCTCAGCACCGAGTATGGAAGGGTAAGTTAATTGCACTTGTTAATGGACTGGGGCAGAAAACCATGATTCAAGTAGCTGCCGGCTCAGGCGGTTGTCATTTCTTGCGAGTATTTTGGCCTCTTCTAATTTGAATGTGTGGCCGGATCTCGTCGAATGAGCCGCAACTTGAGAGCTGGCTTTATTTCTCCGCACCGCTGCAGCGAGTTCGGCCATTCTCGTTCGGAACTGTCTTCCAGTTTCTTTGACGTATTTGCTTTGTCCGCAACTTCACCGGTTCCGATAAAGGACTCCAGACGTTTCTAGCCGTGGCAGTGTGTCTTTCGATTTCGTTACCTGACGCCTGATGGTGGCCTCCGGTCTGTGTGCAACTCCGGGCCCAAGTGGTGCGAGAAGGCGACCGACAGCTTCCGAAACGTTCTTGACATACGGAAGCGCTCGCCAACATTTGATATCCATGCGGTTAGGCCTTTCGACACTTTTGTGTGTGCACCGGTTGACGAAGTTGCGCGAGTATCCATTGGCTTTGAAGACCCGTCAGATGTATTGTAGGTCGGCAATTCTGTCTTCCGGCTCACTGCAGTGCGTTTAGACAGGCCAATAGAGCGTCCTTACACAACTGCGTTTGTGGCTGATTGGGTGGTTACTGTTGAAGTTCGGTACCTGCATCGTATTTGTCGCTTTCCTGAACACTTTGATCTTTGGTCCACCACAATCTTTGCGGCATTCGAGGACATCCAGGAAGGTCAGCTGGTTGTTCTCTTCCTCCTCCCTCGTAAATTTAATGTCCAGGAAGACGACGTTGAGATGTTCTTTGAATGTCAGCACCTAATCCCGATCGATGACGACGAAGGTATCATCCACATACCCGGCCCAGAACTTCGGTCTGTGGTGTTGAAAGATCTGTGACTCTAACCGTTGTAGGACCGCCTCGGCGATGAATCCCGAAATCGGCGAACCCATTGGTGTGCTCTTCACCTGTTCGTAGATTGTCCCGTCGAACGTGAAGTATGTCCTGAGACTAAGCTTCAGGAGCTGAAGAACTTGGGCGTGTCCAAAACGGTTCTCCGTTTCATCGTATTTGCTTTGTAGTAGCAGTTCGATTGTCTCGATCGCCAGGTCCTGGGGAATAGAAGTAAAAATGGATGTAACATCAGAAGATACTATGAGGTCATTTGGATGGAGGCTTACCCCTTTGAGTTTCTCCAGGAATTGTGCTGACGAAGAGACCGTGGTGTCTGACTCAGCGGTCAGGAACTTGAGACGCCGGAACAGCCACTTAGCCAGTCCGTACGGTGGAGGCCCTTTGAGTGAAACGATGGATCGGAGAGGAGCGCCGTCTTTGTGCAACTTAGGGAGGCCATAGAATCGGGCCAATGCCGTACCTTGGGGTCTCGCCATGCGTCTGTCGGTCGGTGTTATTGCACCGGAGTTCTCCAAGGTCAACAACGTAGCATTAATTTCGCGTGTCAGCGCCTTTAAAGGGTTCGTTGCACATGGGACATAGAACTGTCAGCCCTCCAGTAAACCCTTGGCTTATTGAAGGTAGTCTGTCCTATCCATTACAACCGTGGCGCGCCCTTTGTCCGCTGGCACGATGACCAGGTCTTTTTCGATCTTGAATTTTCTAAGCGCATCACGTTCGACCTTGGAAAGCACTTCCCGCGGCCTTTGGGCCATTAGGAGAGACGACACTTGGTGTCGGATGAGGCTCTTAGTCTCCTCTGTTGTCTTCGTCTGACTAAGGGTTGATTCAACTGCTGCAATCATGTTAACAGGTTTGGCGTCAACCGTGTTAAACGAAACTTCATACCGTTAAACCTGCACCTGATCCTTCGTCAGCTCCTTTGATGACAGGTTGTGCACCAGTTTGTCGTTTCTGGGCGATGTTGGATTGGGCAGCTTTCGGAATTTGTTCTCCGGTGCTGCATCGCGTATCATTCTCTGTTCGCGGGTTTGTTCAGTCACCTTCTGCAGGACCATATTTGTACCGATTTTGCCCACCAACTCACAGCATCTGGTCTTTTCTCGGTCAATCTTTGACGGTACTTGCGAAGTCTCGCGTGACAATCTTGGAGGAGCACTCGAATCATCCTTTTGCCGTGTTGAAATACTGCCCGTCTCGCTAAATCCGTGTTAATCGGGAGCCTGTATGAAAAACATTTCAGTAACACATTATTGTCGCGACACTTGTGCAGAAACCGGATCTGCGAATACGTGGAGGCCTCCCGAAGGGCGGAGGTTTCCCATCGCCGGGCCGATCGGAGAGCATCACGTCGAAATGTACTGCCAATAGAAGCGAAGAGACGAGTCCAACGAAGTAGACTTGAAAAAGGAGACACGTTTCGGTTTCCTCCTCGAACCCATCATCAGAGACAGCAGCAGATACGGATGGTTCATGCGCAAAGGTCAGCAGTATTTATAGGATGGCCATCAAGCAATTAGCACACCAAGTGCAACGATCCCGGATAAAGGGGGAGCCGTGAATGTTCATGGGGATGCGGTAGCATGGTGACTGCATCCTATTAATACTGCAGCCCCTTGTGCATGAACCACCCGTATCTGCTTTTGTCTCTGATGATGGGCTCGAGCAGGAACCCAAAACGTCAGGCCAATAAAGCTCTTGTCCCAATGATCGTGTCTCCTTCTTCAAGACTACTTCCTGAGACTCGTCTGTTCGCTTCTATTGGCAATAATTAGCGTATATTTCCACTATCAAAATCGCATGTTTCAAATGTATGTATCGAAATGTTGAGTTCTGGGTCGTTATAATGCATTTAGAGAGCCGTGTGCGCAGTACACACCAACTCCCAAAGCACAAAACCTCATCGCCTACATAAAACGAACAGTCTTAACGAAGATCTCATATAATTGTTCTCTTGCTTAATAAACAAGTCTGCCCTGAAATGTTTCCCCCAAAAACATTTTTTAATAAATTAATGTTCCTGTGCGTTACCGGTTTCCGAAGTATGTCTGATTTACTTCATTTAGGATAAACTACCCTAAGAGAGAACAAGTTATGCCGAAACGAGCTGAACGGGTAAAAATATGTGCAGTGTAACTTTTTTTCCATAGATGATGTTTTCAAATTTGCGGTATTACGTTTTATGACTAAAGCGGCATCGTACACATGTGTGCATATGTCTGTGTAAAACAATGCGCTCTGTCATTAATTAAGGACTTTCCACGACTGCTCTCTACAGCAGCCGCAACAAAATAGTTCGTTGATCCGCCTTCCAAGAGTGACCGTGCTGACAAACAGGCAAGGACTGTATACGGCGCCTGTGTCTGATTGGAAAAAAACAGTTCGTTTGGAATGTCTGGTAGTCTAGACAGGCAAAGCATATTTTCATTTCCCTGAAAATGATCGTCGGTTATGCTTCTCTCTTATTGATTTGCACCACGGGGTGCAGTGCTTGTCTGTCCGCTCGCAGTAAGTATTCTCAAGTTCTGCTAATTATTGCATCTCTTCCAAACGTCATATATATGTATGTATAACGACAAGCTAATCATAGTTCAGGAATATGACTCCGATTGGAAAAGATTAGTTAGTTAGGGTCGCGATTATTATTATTATTGCACGGGATAATGCCAAGATATTTTACTCACCAAACGATAACGGCTTTTAAGTGAGCTCCTTTCTGACCGTCTGCAGAAATCACACTCCAAAATAAGTGATTATTTAACAACCCGAAATGATCCAGTTGACTTTCGATGTTCTTGTCGACTCAAGCACACCTAATAAAAAGCATGAATACAAGTACTTTTGCTCGTATTTGTCAAACAATCAAATATTCTTCGTATTCTAGACATGATTAAGGAGTATTTCTGGTTCTAAACGCTTTTTTCGATTCTCGAAATATGCGTGACCTAACATGCAGTCGCACTTGCGTTTACGATCTCAAAACCACGCGCTGTATACTTTCCGGGTGAGGAAAATCATAGATTTCTTTATGTTATTCAGGGGACTTCATGAAAATTTTCTGTGAATGCGGTCCGTGTTGTATACTTCATAAGAAAAATTTATAAACAGACAGTTACAATGTTTTAAAAAGGGATATTTTTCGGTCATAAAAATTAAGTTATAATATGCTTTTTCAGGACCACAAACTAACATTTCCTTGGTTAAAATATTTAAAAAAACGTAACGTGATGTCAAGTGAATGCAAACGTACATTTTGGATATGGGTGTTGTAGAACAGATTTTAATTTATGAAGGCATCAAAGATAAATAGAAAATGGTAGATTGTTTAAGCAGCCGTCTTTAGCGACTGTTGTCTTTGCGGACCGCCGTAATGAGGTTAGAGGACAAAAAAGTCCTTCACAATAGAAAGCATACAAAGGCGAAATTTCGAGTTCCAGGTGTGTGCATAAGTGAAGAAGAAGATTCGAGCACCGGAATACTTTGTTTATTATTTGTTTGTTATTTGTTTGTTTATTATTTTGTTTGTGCAAAATGGCTATCCGAGTGCATCCATAAGTCGCTGACTACGCGGTCGCCACCAGAGAACTCAAACATCAACGCCACCGACGAAATTGCGTTCTCTGCCATGCATCAGGGGTGTTTCAGAAGCGACCGAGCGCATTGCTGCGGAGCTAAGTGTTGGGATTGCACACCGTCCCAAAGCCACCATGCGCAATAGGGTCATGAAAATCAAAGACCGACTAAAGCCTGAAGAGCAATCTGGAGTAGTGTATTGCATACTGTGTCAAAAGTGTCCTCTTAACTACACAGGACAGACTGGACGCATGCGCGGATCGCGCATACACGAACTTAAGCTGGTTGTGCGATGAGGCGACGCATTATCACAAGTGGTCGCCCACACCTACGAAATGGGTCACGAGTTTAACTTCGCAACCAGCGAAATAGTCGCCCACGCGGGAAACAAAGCAGGCCGAGAATTGATTGAAGCCTGGGCCTCGGGTGAGAACTCGGTCAATCGATTTATCGATTTGGCGCCGGCGTACAGAGCCCTGCGTAGTCACCTCCAGTCTTGCGCCGTTGGTCGATGATTGGGCCTACATGCCTTATAACTGCCGCTTGTTCCCTTTCTGCCACTACCTCTGACGATGGACTCCTGTACGAGTCTGAAAGCTCAGGACAATAAACAAAGTGTTCCGGTGCTCAAATCTTCTTCTTCACTTATCGAAAGCATACTTCAGGATTTTGATTCAAATCTTACAAAGTAGGCAGGCTGCTGTATATGTTAAACCATAAAAACTTGAATAACAAGAAATATGTGTTTCGGTGTTGACTGTAAACTTTAGATTTATAAGGGTTCAAATAGTATAAAGTAGCTATGCAATGTGATTTCCGACGTATTTTTATTAGAAGCCTGAATGAATACAAGTAAGTGTTGTGACGCATTCAATTGCTCTTTGTAAGGGACACGTTAAACGAAAGGTTCTCCTACGTCCGTAGACCAGTATTACTATAGGATTATACAATGAGTGACCGATCTCACGAAACGTTGGCGGAAATTCTGAAACGCATTTTCGATTAGGAAGGATTACTTAGGCGCGAGTGTAATATTGATTACCTTGTGACAGAATGCTTTAATATTTCGGACTTGGCAGAATGCCAGCTTTTGAATGCACTTCTTTTCAATCTCCTATGGTAACCGAATCCGGTAAAAAATGACTACTTAGGTAGCCTGCATTTTCACACTGATTTTCGCTGGTCTAGTAAATTCAAGTATATTTCATAGCAACCACGAAGAAACATAAGCTTTCCTTCAGTCGTTTGATAGAGAGTCAGGTCATCTTTACATTTTGTGCTCGAAGAAGTATAATTAGGTTTTAAACAAGTTTTCTAATTCCCGAATAATTTGGAGCCCATTCAGTCGTTGCATAAGCGCTTAGTGACCACAGTCTACAAAGTGCATGCGGTCCGCGTAAAGAAACTCACGTATTCCTCTATGCCTTTAGGAAGATATCATATAGATTCCCCATAATTTTACAATGGATGCGGATAATGTTGTACATTTCATGAGAAGCAGTGGTAAACTGACGGGTGCGATACTGTCTCTCATAAGAAAACACATTTTGAAACCTAATTATATACCTTATTCAAGCATAAATTATAAGGATAGCATGATGCACTATCAAACGTATGGGAGAAAGCATATTTTTGTTCGTGGTTTCTATAAAATATATTTGAATTTGCAGTACCATCGAAAATCAATGTAAGTCATGCATGATACCTAAATAGTCATTTTTTACCGAGTTTCATTTCTACAGTAGATTAAAAAGCAGTGCATTTGAAGGCTGACATCCAGCCGAGTCCTAAATATTGTAGGATTATGCCGTAAGATAATCAATTTACAACCGCACCTAAGTAGTCCTTCCTGATCGAAAACGCATTTCAGAATTTCGGTCAACATTTCGTGAGATCGGTCACT